TAGCAAAGTATTAGAAGTTAGAAAGAACTTCTACTAAAACTTACATATCGCCCGAGTGGGAACTCTGCTTTCACGTAATCGTGACCAACAAACTTCTGGTTCCAGAGCAAATCGTGAGAATAATATTTCCTGAAAAACGAAAAAACAAATCAGAGCATATCTGCGATTTAAAAACTTAAACTCGTACTCTGGTTGCTTGATGACGATCTCTGAGCCATCTTCTTCATCGGCTTCAATATGTCCCCAAACAGTACCTCTAAAGTGATATGCCGGATAATGTTCCAATCCCAGTGTAAATCTCGTCACCGGAGTCTCAGACACGGGAATGCCCATGAATCTCTTCTCATTGTTTTCCTGATCAGAAATTTAATTAATATCAATTAATAAGAAAAACTCCATAAAATTCTAGTAAGGAGACCAACCTTTCGTATGTCATGCTTGCAAGGATCGACCACATCCTTGAGGCTGTACTTAATTGTATGCTCCAGGGGCTCGAAAGGATTATAATCTGGACGTGGAAAATCTCTCAAAATCATCTGCTTGTTGGCTATCGAACAGTATTGATACTGGTACCATCCTGCAAATTGGCAAATGAATGAATTAACTGAAAGCTTAAGATTTCTTACTGAGCTTGTCCTTGATGTAATCCGGAGACATTCCATTCAGCTCGTCCTCGATCTGCCTCTGTATGGGCTCGAAAACTTGCATTCTCCACTTCTCATACAAGATCGCAAGCTTCTTGACATTCTTCTCGTCAACCAGCTCGATCATATCGCCCATTTGCCGCAGTATGTGTCCCTTTTTGTACTCCGAGCCTCTGGAATACGATCGATACATCTTTTCAAACTTGATCTCGTCTTTCCTCCTCTTGCGCTCCTTGATCCTCTCGACCAGCTTTTCCAGGGAAAAACAACGCAAACAATCAGCCAAAGAATCTCGCGAGAGCAACTTCAGAAGAGTTTACCTTAGAAACATTCTCACAAGAAAGATTTAGGTTCCAACCTCCTTCTCCTCGGGTGAGTAGCACAGGAAATTCTCAACAGGTGTGTTCCTGAGCTTGTATCCGACTTGCTCACAATACCATCCTCGCCTAACTTTGTAGCCACGAACCTTATATTTCCTCTGCATGGATGATCACGTATCAATTCTTATGTAAAATCGTAAGATCGAGACTTACACGTTTCTTCCTGACCCGAGGAACCAGCTTTGAATCCGGCGGCGGCTTTGGAGCATGAACAACACTCCTGGGTGCGGGACAGCCTCGGATCCAGCGCAGGGGTTTGAAGAAATCCAGAAATGCATCAGGCTTGGTCATGGTGATCTGGCCTTGGGGATTTGGCTCCTCCTCTTCATCCGCTTGCTTGGCCAACTTTGGGCGGAAGAACCCGATATACGAGAGTGGCTTGCATGGCGAGATCTCCCCCGGCACAACGGGAAGGTCGTGCGGGAGCCGCTTCTTCTTGTTCTTGCGGTATTTCTTCACCTTGGCTTGATCCAGGTGGTCGTCCAGCGGCGAAGCGGGCCGCCTCCTCTCCTTGTTGCGTGGGATCTCCACCTTTCTCCATGGAACTGGGAAGCGCTCCTTCTTGGAGTAGCGTTTCTTTGGCGGAGGAGCTCCCCAATTGTCCCAGGCCATGGCTAGAAATCTCTTTTGCAAGACAATAGAGATGGAGATTGAGAATGAGAGAGAGCAAACCCAAGAAAAAAGGAGGAGAACAATGGTGGAAAATTTGCGCGCGCTTGCTGCTTGAGCCGGCCGGCTTTCCTACCACCGTTTTCCACCTGTATGGTTTGCCACGTGGAATAGTATCTTTTTTTAAAAAAAGTTTGAAAAAGTACAACATAGCTGAAGGTACAAAGGATGATAGATTTGAAAAGAAATTATAACATAGTTGAAGGTACAAAGGATGATAGATTTGAAAACAAACTATAACATGGCTGAAGGTGATAGATTTGGGAAACAGACTATAGTCTATACTTGAAGTTACAAAGGATGATAGATTTAATCACGGGTAGGTATATGGTAGCGGGGGGTGTTTGCATAGCTCGAACTGCTTCTTGAAGAAGTCTGGCTCGGTTGGCGCGATGAGATCCATGATCTCCATCATATCTGGAGGCTGCCCTAGCAGCTCGGCGTAGATCATCGCCCTCACGTATTGGCCCTTGGAAGCATAGAAATATGCGTTCGTCCGCCACTCTTTCTTTTGCTTTTGGCTTGGAGACTTTTCCATGTGTAAGTAAACCCTAGAACTTAGTTCTACCTTTATAGTAAAGCAACCAAAAGGCTCGCTAAACAAAGGACGGTCCTTTTGGCTTTAGTTGATGTAGTTTACATAAATAAACTTTGTCAAGTAAAAATACAAGGAATCAAAGAAGAACTTCTAGAAAAGTCTTGAATTCTTTTCTATCAAGGAAGAGGTAAATAAAGTCAATCAATAAAAAGTTGTAAATTAAAAAAGGACCTCGTTGTCAAAACAAGCAACGAAGACGTATCGATAGATTTGCTGGAACTGGCATATTTCTTCCTCGTGACACGACACGAAGAGGCGAATATCCTCTCCTTGGAAGAGGCACAAGATAAGATATGGCCATGGTGTGGCTGTGAGTGACAGCAAGCTTGGAGTAGTTTTAACCCCAGGTACATTTCTTGGTAGATTTATTTACTACTTTTACCCAATATGATTTCATTGTTCTAGGGTTGATTGGAGGCTCCGGCTTATCCGCTTCGTCGGGGAGAGCAGTGCTAGGGTTGCGCGATTCGCAGGGCGGGGATTGTTTCTCACGAATTCGGGGATCGTCTCTATCGCGGCGCCATGGCGTCGGCTCCAGCAGGTCGGGGTTTCGCGCATAGATTAGGTCAATTTCTCACTCGGCATTGCTTTGCGATTCGCAGAAAAGGCCGCGGATGACAAGAAATCCGAGTCCTCCTCATCGCAGGCGGATTTTAACGCTTTCGACATGTCGGCGATGACGAGCTTGTTGAATGTAAGCTTTAGTTCTTTCTAGATACTGTTTTGCTAGAAAGTTTCTTGAACTGCACTCTTTTTCTTTTTTTTGCCAGGATCCAAGCATCAAAGACATGGCGGAGCAAATTGCCAAGGATCCGGCATTCAATCGCATGGCACAGCAACTATCCGAGAGCGTCCAGACCGCCGGAGACGGTGTTCCACAGCTCGACACGAATCAATACTTCCAGGCAATGCAGCAAGTTATGCAAAACCCACAGTTCATGAGCATGGCGGAGCGCCTTGGCAATGCTCTCATGCAGGTAGTGTTTGGAAGCTCTATTGTCTCAAGCTTTTGTTTCTCTGTTTTCCAGGATCCATCCATGGCAGCAATGCTCCAGAACATGACTAATCCAGCTCATAAGGAGCAACTCGAGGCACGCATGTCGCAAATCAGAGAGGATCCCGCTTTGAAGCCAGTTCTCGACGAGATCGAGCAAGGAGGCCCAGCAGCTATGATGAAGTACGATCCTCTTTATCTGATTCTCTCTCACTCGTGCAAGTGACTGACTTTTGTGATGTGAACTTTTGCCAGGTACTGGAATGATCCCGATGTTCTTAACAAGCTAGGACGGGCAATGGGAGTAGGGGGTCCGCAGCACTTTGGCTTGCCAAGGGAGGAAGTCGAAGAAGCGGAGGCCGAGGGCGAGGGCGAGGAAGAGGAGGAACTGACGCTTCATCACACCGCTAGCACTGGCGACATTGAGGTACCTGAGTTTTCTCTATGTAATTTTGTTTTTCTCATGCTCTTCATGCCAGGGGTTGAAAGTTCTTCTAGCGGACGGTGCAAACAAGGATGAGAAAGACTCGGAAGGGAGAACAGCACTTCATTTTGCTTGTGGATACGGAGAGGTAAGCAAATAGATTGAGTTGATTTCCTCCTCCACGACTCATCTGTCATCTCTTTCCAGTTGAAATGCGCGGAAGCTCTTCTCGAGGCTGGGGCGTTCGTGGACTCGGTGGACAAGAACAACAACACTCCATTGCATTACGCTGGTGGCTACGGCCGGAAGGAATGCGTGGAGCTGCTATTGAAGAACGGAGCGGCCGTGTACGTGTCTCGAAAGCCTCTTCGTTCTTTCGCGCTTGGATTGGACTAACTTTTCCTTGTTCCTTGTTCCAACAGGACTGTAAGAAACATGGACAGCAAAACTCCAATGGACGTTGCCAAGCTCAACAATCAGGACGAGATCGTCCAGCTCTTGCAAAACGACGTTTTCCTCTGAGAGAAATCGGAATCACAAGGCGAGAAGAACGAATTCGTTGGGGATTGTGTGAAAACTATACTTGAAGGCGTAGAAGTTCCTGGTGTTGGATTTTTCCTCTTATCATTATAGCTACAAAGAAAACCTTTTAAACTCCACAGCATCGCTACAAACATAGCTTTTCCTTTTGGTATAAAACTTCCTCCCAGTGAGGAAAAGAATCAAAGAAGTTCTTCCAGAGTGCTTCTTCGCTATGACGATCGAACTCTCTTGTGACCCACCGCTCCAGCGGCAGCGGCGGGAGAATCCATGGCTTTCGCGGTCGCTGGCGGTGGGATGGAATCGCCCTCTTGCGAATTCTCGAAAGACTTGACGAACGAGGAGGAGATGGTGGAGTACAGGCTCACGACCTGGCCGATGTTCTTGTTGAGCTCCTTGATGAGCACCACGTTCCTGGACAGGCTCTCGGGGACCTTGGATTCCTGGTTCTGGTTGATCTCGTTGATGAGGAGCCGGTTGTGATCGAGCAGGAATTGGACCTGGCTAAATCCCCGCTCGAACGCCGCCCACATCTTCCTGTCCACTGGCGGCGCCTTTGCTGGCGCCGACGATGCGTCGGCTTCCATGGAAAATCTTTGCGCTCGCGAGAGATTTTGGGAGAGGCGCGATCATTCCTGGAAAGAATCCCACTCACGAATTGTGAGATCGATGGAGGAGCTGGGAGGGGAGAGATTTGCTACTTACCACCACTGGCGCGCATGGATTCATCGTCTCCGCTCGAAATATTTCACTTTGCCCTAGCTAGGTAGAGAGCGAAGAACTGAGTTAGGGTTTCTTCTACCTAGAGCGATCCAATGCGGCGAGCGGCGGGGGCGCTGCGCGGGGCGTGGGCGATTCTCGCGCGACAGGAGGAGCGAGCAGCGCCTCTAGCGACTCGATTCTTGTCGCAGGTCGCGAGTGTCAACAGATCGCCTCTTGTTCGTCCGGCACTCCTTTTCTCTCGCCGGGTAAGCTACCTTTTCTTTCTTGCCGCTCGAGCTAATGTAGATTGCGATTGCTAGGATGCGAGGGATTTCGCTGATAAAGCCAAGGAGGATTTGCCTCCTCTACCTCCTCCTGTGAAGGTAAGGAAGATTTTTTCTTTCTCTCTTTTGGGCTTGCATGAAGGGCTGGTGTTTTTCTCTTTTTCTTTCTTGTAGATGCCGAAACTCTTGAGTGGTGTTCATGGCAACTACGCTGCTTCCTTGTATGTGACCGCTGTGAGGGCCGAGGCTACCGACCAAGTGGACTCTGAAATGCGGGCGATCGCAGCCGCGGTCGCGCAGTCCCCCGAGTTTCAAGCTTTCGCGGAGGATATCTTCATGAAGAGGGAAGACCGCATTGAGACCGTGAAGAAAGTCTTTGGTGACTCCAATCTACATACGATTACCATGAACTTTCTAAGTAAGTTTGCCTTTTTTTCTCTCGTCTTTTCTGATTGTGGTTGTTTGAGCAGCAATCTTAGCTGAGGATGGCCAGTTCAAACTCTTTCCAAGGATCGCGAAATCGTTTGCCGAGGTGATGGACGCTCACAGGGGGCGTATACGCACGCTTATCACCACAGCAGATGTACGTACTAGTGAAGCCTGGTTGCTGGCATTAACATTTACGTGGTTTTTCGTTTCTCTCCTCTTTCAGGAGCCCTCATCCTCCGATTTGGATTATATAAAGAAGAATGTGGTGGACACGATGCTAGAGCCTGGACAAACTGCGATCATTGAGACAAAGGTATGCGCGATTCCCTCTTGCTAATGCGCTCTTACCGGTTAGCTACTTTTTTGGGCTTAGATCAACGAGGACATCATAGGGGGCTGTATCGTGGAGGTCGGGGACAAGCTCGTGGACATGTCCATCGGCAAGAGAATAGTGCAGATCGAAAAGGTTTTGCTCGAGTCCCTCTCGCAAATGGATGCGTGAGGTGGGATCAAGAACTCGAAGAGACTCTTGGAATAATTTAGCAAAAAGCGAAAGGTGTGTGACAATAAGCTGATATTGATGACAACCACGGTGGTGTTGCAGACCAAGCGTAAATCTCATGTACAAGTATCAGAAAAGAGGACCGATTGCTACTTTCGCTTCGTGATTCACGAGTTTGTTTGTGAGTGCAGGACAATAGTCGTTCTCGAACATGTGCCAGTTTTTGCTCTGCAATGGGACCAAGTAGGTTCTTAAATTCTACTTCCTTTTTTTGTTCTACCCCGTTTGAATGCAGGCAAAAGACAAATTTCTTTCCTCTCTGGAAAGTATGCTCGCAAGCAGGTACGGGGATTCGTGCGGTTTTATAAGCCTGTAGCGCGAAAAAGATCTCTTTATTCGCGATTCTTCCTAAGCTTCTCCGAAGAGGTATCCGAACTAAAGCAGCCTTGATCCTTACAGAAGTTTGGTACGGATAAACTCGAGCTCCACGATGTTGGGCTGCTGCTCCGGCTGGAAGAAGAATCGGCGGGTCTGCTGCTGCTGCGCTTGGCCTCTCTCGCTCGAAAGTAGTGCGCGAAGAACTCGGTGTTGGCCTTGACGAGCTCATTCCAAACTAGCGATCCAAGCAAGAACAAGAAAAGAAGAGAAGAGGATTATCATCAAACTATTCATGGATTTTCGAGGTACCTATTTCAGCAATAGCTGGGTCTACATTCGCTTGTGCCAGAGCTTCGATGGTTTCTTCTTGATCCATATGTAGCAGCAGGCATCTCTCGATCAAGTAATGCACCTACAAATCCTAGTAAAAGGCTGCTCCAAAATTTTTAAGTCAAATTGCTACCTTGAAAATGTAGGAACTCGAGATTGTCTCTTCCGGCGGCCTGCGCGCGCTCATAGCGAGGATCAAACTGGAAATCACGAGAGATTTCCTTCTTCCTTCTTTAAAACACTGCCGCTCTTTGCTGTTCGTGGAAATCGTGGAAAGCAAAGCTGTGCCGTTGATCGGCACCCATCAACCGTCAACATGTCATTCACATCTCAACCGTCGGGAGCCCGCATCCAACGCTTGAAGTCGCGGCACGCGGCGAAAGCGATATGCAATGCGGCGTGGTTTTTAAGCAACTCCCGTCCACCGTCGAACCGAGACTGCTGTCGCGCCATCCAACGGCCAGGCTTGCTAACGGATAATTTGCCATGTGACCGTCATGTGAAGTGTGCTATTTTAATGCTTCCTCGTGGGTCCACGGTCACGTGGCAGTGCTGTTGACCCAATAATATACAATGCGAACGCACGATTGTCCATTGACCATTAGAGTCAATGTTTTTCGTGGACTTAAGTCAACTAAGTCAACGTTTTGATTGAATCGTTCGAGTAAGAAGAATCGTGGTGTTCATGTACAATTGCTATGGCTATGATATTGTCATCGTTGTCGTTCGAAGGAATCGAGGAATCAAGGAGAGAGTAGTGATCTTGGCGGTGACTGCCTCTTCTAGTCTGCCTGCTGGTTAGCTTCCCAAAAGGAGAACAGAGAAAAAGAAAGAGAGAGAGAAAAAAATTCGAGGAGAAGAGTCAGTGAGTGAGTTCTTGGGACTCAATCCTGACGAGGAGCTTGTTGTTGTTGCTCCTCTTGCTTCTCGACCGTCTCCATTTCTCGCAGCTGGCGTTGCATGAGATAGCCCTGCGCCGTGGAATTCACGATGGAAGCCAGGAATCCCATGAGTATGACCATCACGAAGGTGTTCCAGGCGAACGCGACCATGTTTGGCTGCCCGGACTGAAAGCAACATCCATCAGTACCGAGGAACAAGACTAGATTTTGCTTCTTCAATCTTGTCAGTACCAAGGATCTTGGGGAGACTACTTACTTTCGCTTGCTGGCCGTGACGAAAGCTCTCCTGGGCACTTTGTAGAGTGGTCCTGATTCTCGGCAAGATGAAGGAGAACGTAGGCACCTTAGATAAACTCCAGGTTAGCGAGTCCAATATGAGCTCTACCAAGTGCGCGTTGCAAGCCAAGATGATGAAAATCGTCTGCCAAACAGTGCACAAATGAGATTTTCTGTTACTGTCAAGATACAGTACCTGTATGTGCGTCTTGATGACTGCCTTCCCCAATAAGGTGGCCAGGAAAAACTTCCAGAAAGGAACAAGAAAATGCCCACACATCATTCCCGCTAAATCGAACAACGGATTCGGCACCTGCGGAACGGAGCGTGAGTCGTGCCAAAAAGCAACACTAAAAAGAAATAATATAGACATACCGAAGCACAAATCAAGATCGTGAAAAATCCAAACCGCTGGATTTTCGTCACCATCCACTGCCTTACTCGCGTCAGCAAGGAATCCTTTGTGGCGGACTCATTCTCAATGTCGTCAAGAGCCTTTAGACGCTCGCCAGACAACCGAGCTGCGGACCTTCTAAGTCAGTGACACGAAACTTAAAAGCAAATGAAGTGAGGATACCTGCTCTAGAAACAAAGTAAGGCGGAAGCTCTCCAAGCGCCGTCCCAATCCCCCACAAGACTGCCTCGGGCTGGACTTGTACCAAGACGTTGTAGAGCGGGACCATGTAACTCTCGTGCTCGGATGCAAGCCGGGGAAACTGGGGAGCTCCAATGCTCGTACAGTCCTTGTCCGCCCATGAGGCACTCGTTCCAAAATATGGTGTGTCATATGGAGCGGACTTTAAGTCGTCGCGTCCACAGAGGGTGGCTTTGAGCGTAAACATGGCAATGTGAGGACCAAGGTAGAGCACGAACGTGTGTAGTCCCGAGCCTGGAGAATCGCGTAAGACTTTAAGAGAGAAACCTTTTAAAAAAATCCAGGAACTTTACCGAGTCCGATCGAAGAAGCCACTCCAAGGCCGATCCACCACACAGCGAAACGAAAATATAGCCAGGCTTCCTCCATTGCCTGCGAGAGAAGAATCGAGCTTTCATGAAGAGCAGGCTTGAATGGAAGGAGAGAAATAAATACCTTCTCATACCCTCCGACCACCAGCAGTGTGCATCCCGACGCGAAGCAGAGAAAAAGGAACAAGAGAAACGTGAATCTGTGCCTCGCAGCGTAGATCCAAATCCGTCCCAGATGTTGGAGCATGGCCAGCAGGAAGAATTTCGTGGTCGTGAGCGGCTGCTTCGTGAGAACGAGCTGCTCGCGTTGTCTGGTATGCATCCTCTTCAACCGTTCTGGAAGGAACGAAGTGAAAAAAAAAACAAAAGAAAGAAGAAATCGCGAGATCGGTGTCTAAGAGCTCGAAATTTCGAGCGAGCGCGAGATCGATGAGAGCGCTGGAAAGAGCGAACGACACTTACTCATTGGATCGATCCCGATGGTGCTGGTGAAGCTGGAGCTGGCGGTGGGCGCTACCGGCGAGGAGAATTCGTCCGCCATTGGGGAGGCGCGACCAATGCGCGTGACAAACCCTAGCGCCTTGAGCAGATTAGGGCTCTTGGACGTCGGAGGGCCCGAAGTATTTCGGGGCCGGCTAAGCGCGCTTTCCAAGGTAATCGCCACTACGAATCTTAGCTAGATCCCCTTTTGCCGCATTCTCAGCATTCCTCCATGCTTGAGCTCTATCGAATCGTGCTGTTCTTCTAGCTGTTCTAGGTGAAGAGAGCTTTGCTCTCTATGTAACAAAATTGCTACTACCGCTACAAGGCTACCAGGTAAAAAAGCCTCTAGCTGCTATATTGGAGAAGAAAATCACTCGACTAGACTAAACATACTGACGAACTTAGCAGGACCGAGCGAATCCAGCATATCAGCCAGTTTGCTGGCAGTCCACCGCAATGGGAGAAGCTGCCGCTCTTGTGCCTTCATCCAGATGCGTCCATGAAAGAGGAAGAGTCCGCTCTCTAAAGGTACCACGACCTTGCTGCTGCTGCTGATTTTGCTGGCTTGGGTGATGTTGGTGTTGAGCTGCAGGGCTTCCAGTCGTGGCTGCGCTGCTGCCACTGCTGCTGCCGCGGCATTCGAGTTTGAGAAATCCGTGTCCGGCAACTTTGCAGTGATCCAGACGACTTCCATGTCTTCCAAGTCACTGAAGGCCTGCAAGCTCTGCCTGGTAGGTTTCCACTCCTTGGACTGCTCCCGGAAGGTGTTGTCCTCCTCCTTGTCCCTTCTTGGAGGGGGGATTTCCTTACAGTGCGTAGCATTCTCTTTCTCTCTGTTTCGTTAGTTTGGTTTCAGCTCTACAGGCTTGCGAGATGGCTGGAAGATTAAGTTACAAGTGTGGCTTTTCTTCTTACCTGGAATGCAGAGAACTCGTCGAGGGGCTCCTTGTTCATGTCGTGCAAGTCGAGGCCGGAGCAGTCGCCTTTGCCGCACAGCGTCTTGGGCCGCTGCAGTGCCCTCTTCTGCCTGTTACTCCACAAGTCTTTGACATCGTTGTCAGTGCGCCCAGGCATCGATCTTGGCCCACTTTGCCGAGCTTGGCTTGCATTTCCACGACGAGCTTTTCCAGGAAAAAACGCTGGAACTCTTACACTACAGTGACTCAGCTCAAGGTGCTTGCACAGGATGTTGCAAGCTTCAAGCCTCTCCACTTCACACTCTGAAACACAGAAAACTCCCAACTCAAACACAGATAGACATAGGTGTGTTACAAATTCTTAAACACTTGGTTATGTACTACTTACATTGTCATCCTCCATAACCCATGATCTGATCCTCCATGTTATCATGTACCTCTAAACCATATACCACAAGTTTTGTTATTTCCAACTTTAGGCAGTGGGTAGCCATTAAGTACCAGAGTAGTTTAGAATAATGAGTTGAGAAGTGGTTAGTAATTACAAGCTAAAAAATTTACTTAGAGGACTAAGAGAAGTTAATGGTGTTTTCCAGTGAGTTAACAAAGAATAAGGTGAAAGATTAATCTTGAGAAAAGAGTTAAAGTAAGTACAAAAACAGGAGCATTAGTAATATTTTCAATTCCAGTTTACTTGGCTTATTTGCTTTTATGGATCTTTTTTCAAAATTTTTTTGTTAACTCAAGTTTGTTCTTTTTTTCAATAACTCTAAAAGTTTTTTCACCAGCTCAAGTCACGAACTAAAGAAAAATCACATATATAAATGTACTTTCAAAGTTGCAGGCACAATATTATCATCCTCAGTATAAGCCTTTCTTAATTAATCTAACAAATTTAAATAACAATATTGAAATAGTTATTGAGTTTTTTATTTTAAATAAAACATTTACCATAACCTTCTCAAATAAAAAATGATATTACTATTATATATGATTACATCAATTTCAAATTTTTTTTGGAACCAATTTTAATAAACTATATAATTTTTGTAGCATTTAATTTAATTAATTAAAAATGTACTTTTCCATGATAAAACTTATGCTCTAAAAATGTATTAATCAGGATGTATATATCAGCATGCTCTAATGTATATAGTATAAAATTTCATTATTCTTGAAAAAAATTAATAAAAATTTAATATAAGGTTTTAAATTAAAAAATAGCTTAAAAATAAAATTAATAATTTTTATTTAAAAATTAGTATAAGAAATGTAATGTATGTTTTAAAAATTAAAATATTTATAAAAACTTATCATATGTTATAGCATAAAGAATAGATTTTTTTTCTCATTCTGTTTATTAAATTTCTTAGAAAGCTATAACACCACAAATAATATATTAAAATTTTAAACTTTTAGCTAAAAAAAGTGAAATACCATTATGAAATAAGAAATAGAGTTTTTAAAAAAATCTAAACTGTTTTAATAAAAAACATTAAAGTTAATTTTTTTTGTTATGGAAAACTATAAAATCTTAAAAGTATAAATATAACTAAAAGTTAATAATTATTTTATGTAATTTACACACTTATAATTTATCAATACTCCACTAATACTTATGCCATAGCTTTGGATTTCATTTTAGTCATAATTGTTAGTAACGTTGTTACTAATTTTGTAGGAGTTTTAAATTCTTGTGGTAGTTTATAATCAATCAATAGAAGTTTTGAATGTTTCATCTGATCACATTTTTCAATCTTTTGGAGGGGAGGACGCTTTAAGCTTAATATATATATAAACAGATACATATGCCGATATTGCTCCATCCTTCCCCTTATGCCATAGCTTTGGATTTCATTTTAGTGTATATATATATGTATGTATATATATATATATATGTATGTATATATGTATGTATATATATATGTATATATGTATATGTATATATATATATTTATGTATATATATATATATATATTTATGTATATATATATATATATATTTATGTATATATATATATATATATGTATATATATATGTATATATGTATATATATATATAAGTAATACACTACTTATAGTACTAAAGCATATGGACTATCCATTTGGGATTAAATTTGGTCCATCCATTCTTGAATATAAACAATGGTTTAAACCCCAATTAATATACTTATTCCTATATCCAAGTATATATAAAAAATCAGTATATATAAAAGAATGATTGGGGTTTAAATCTAAATTTTTTTAAAAACAATATATTAAATTTAATTTTTTTAGTGTTTTTTGTAAAATGTATAAAATTTATTATTTATATTAAAAAATTAAATATACTTAAAAGTTAATAACTATTCTATCTAATCTACACACTTTTAATCTATTATATAATTAGTGAAAACAATAACCTGATTTATAATATATTTCTTTTTACATTGTAATTTAATTTTAATATCGAAGGATGTGAAGGCCAAGTATACGGCTATGATGCCGTATACTAATATTATTGTAGTGGGATTTTGGTAGCCATCAGATTGGTTTTAATCCAGACCACTTGCTCGTGTATATAAACTTGGGTTTTTAGGCTAATTGATATGCACATTTTCTATATTCCCTTTCCATATTCCAAACACTCACATTAGTGGAGATGAAGAGCACTTTTGATTGTTCTTGAGGAGTGTTTGGATTTGGGATTTTGGTTTAGATTTAGCTTTTGCATCGTCTAGATCTAGCTTTTTCCATTTACTTTCTTTTGTTCTTTCCTTTCAGGATTTTGGTTTAGATTTAGCTTTTTGCATTGTCTAGATCTACTATTTTCTTCTAGTTTTTTGTCATTTCTCTTCTTTTGCTCTTTCTTTATTCGTCTTCATGGCAGATCAACAATCTCCTTCTTTGACTATGGAGCAGCAGTTGGTACAATTGCTTGATGCTATGCGCTTGCAATTAAACAACTAAACTCAGTTGATAGTGGGGGCTCATGGCACGTGGTACAACTCTTCCCGCTTTTGGTCCCAATCCTTGCGTTTTGCTGGAGTTCTTTCGTGGGAATCCTGGGGATGATGTGTATCATTGGTTCAATCATTTCACACTGATTGCCACATATCATTCTTGGGATGATGCTCGACATTTGGGTGAGTTTCTCACGTGTCTCCAAGGCACGGCGTTGCAATGGTACAATAGTTTGAGTGCAGCCACTCGTGAGGATTGGAGTGCCTCTCGGACGTCTTCAAACGCGCTTTCAGACATGTCGATAATTGTGATAATGCCTTCCAACAATTGCATCGTCTTCGCCAAGGGCCATCTAAGTCGATGATGCAATTTGGTGTTTGTTTCCGAAGTCTTTTGCTTCGTACGGAGCCAAATATGTAGGAGCGGATCAAGCTAGGAATGTTGTGGCTAGCACTTTGTCAAGATCTTGTTAAACTTATGCATGCACTTGCTCCTGCCACCCTTGACGATGCTTTTCGCTTGGCACAACGTTATGAGACATTGCCTCTTCCACTTCTCACTGCACGTCCTTCAACTTCACTTCCTATGGGCCCAATGGAGGTTGACGCTGCTGCTGCTCGAGTCCAAGAACAAGGGCGAAGACGTGGTTGTGGCCATGATGTTCAATGCTGGGCATGTGATGAAGTTGGTCATACTTATCGGCGTTGTTGGTGTTTTCTAGATTGGATTTCCTAGGTGGAGACCTTGGCGTCAACAACGTCTTGTTGATGCTGCTGCAGTGGAAGGTTTGGACACCAAGATGCATCCGGGAAATGAGGAGTCTTGCGAATAATGGAGGGACCTTGCACGAATAAGTCAGTGACTCCTCCATCTTTTTTTCGGGAGTATCATCAAGGGGTTCACTCGGCACTGGTTCATCCATTTGTGTTGGTTGATACAGGTTCAAGTTTATCTTTTATTGCTCAACCTGTTACCACATGTTGCCATCTACACTTGCGTCGTGCGGCCAAACCAATTTTCATTCTTTATGGCAACGGCTGTACACATGCATGTGCATGGGATGAGGTAGACTTGGTTGTGCATGTGGGCGATCTCGAGTTTGGGTTGCAGTCATTGCAGGTGGTGTTGAATCAAGCTTTTGACCTTATCCTTTGTATAGATTGGTTGCAGCACAATCATGCCAAATGTGACTTTGAGGCTTCTCCCCCTTGTCTCATACTTCCTTATGTTTCATCCATTCCTTTCACTTCCGTACCTCTTTGTCCCTCTACTTCCATTACTTTTGTTCCCCCATTATTTCCTCCTATGTTTCTGTTTTGTTTTGCTCTTCCTTTTTCTGATCCCTCTGACGATCTTTGTGTTGCAGTGGTTGACCGGCTCATGAAAGAGTATTCTAATCTATTTGAATGTTTGGGGCCAAGATTGCCACATGTCATCCGATTCCAACCGGGAATGCTCGTCCAATCAAGGTTTCTGTTCATCGTCGGTCACCCAAGGAGATCAAGATTTTACGTGCAAACGTCAAGGAGATGTTGGATAAGGGTGTTATTCAGAAGTCGCGGAGTTCTTAGGTATGTGAACTTTATCTTATGACAAAGTCTAATAGAAGTATTCATTTTTGCATCGACTATCATTTGTTAAATGAAGTGACGATCCCAAATGTGTACCTTCTTCCTCACACTGCTGATCTCTTGATCGTCTAGGGTGAAGTCGTTGGTTCACTAAGCTAGATCTTTCTTTTGGGTACTGGTAAGTACCAATGGCCAAAGAAGATATTTCTAAGATTGTTTTTCATACACCATT